ACCTCACCTGATTTCACCCTTCTTTGAGTTTGCAGGAAAAACATTTTTTTTTTACTTTTTTACATTACTAACAGTAATAGATATTTTCAAAAACCAATGAAAAGGGTATACAAGTGAGACAGGTAGTACTCGTAACTGGCTCATTGGTGACTTAGTACTTGTGGAACCATCTATGCATAGAAACAATTAATAAATTAAACTCACAGTGGGCATGTACGTACATGCCATCCTGGCAGCTTCAGGTTAATAACTTTCTAAAAATTAACCTTCTTTACAACATTAGTAATAGTTTACCTTTTATATGCTGATTTTGTTAAATGATCATCATCATAACAATTGTTGGTCACCATGTCCCTGTTTGTTAATTGAAGAAAACATCTTCTAAAGATCCTAATTTACTTTCTTGATTTTGATAATCTAATGAGATCAACAAGAAAGGTGATACCACTTTTTCAACAATAATTCTGCTACAAAGATAAGTTCTTAGCTATACCGTTTGTATTTTGTAGTTTTTGATGTTTGGATAATCAGTCCTAAAAGTTTTCAGCAAATTTAAATACACTTACAGATACAATATTAGCTTGAAGCAAATATTAGCTTAAATAAAACAACAAGGATTTTAGTTAAGCACAACAACAACAACAAAAAAAAACATCAAACAAAATCCATATCCTAGATTCTAAAATGCCATTTAAAGCAGTCCTAAGCTTCTAATCTGGTGACCTCAAAAGAACATACTGTATCAACCCACAACTTTATCCCATATTCTTACAAATTCAACAATTAGTTTCCCTTAAAGCATTTCCCTATTTCTATAAAATGGTTAAACCAAAGATTTCTCACCTGTTGCCATCTTGCCGCACAGTCAGAGGCTTGCCCCCGTCAGTGGGAGTCCCAGCTGGGGGCGTGCCTGCAGACCCATTGGCAGTTCCTGAGGGATTCTTCTTCTTGAGTGCAGATTTCAGAGGCTTGGCATCTAGTCTGGGCTCCCGTGCAGGTACTTCTTCTACTCTGGAGGTGTCAACATAAGGGCCATGGTTGGTGTTGTAAAACACAACACCATCAACCTCTGTGCCCTCATCTACATCTTCTATATCATCATCTGGCAAAGTAAATAACATCCATTGATCTTCTTTGAAGAGTTACTACAATTTTTAGACCAGAAAAAATGTGGCCATGTTATCATAGTGCTATACTTTTAAAAAAATATATTTTATACCTATTACGTTCGCTGGATAACATCAGCTCCTCTTTCATATCAAAGTTTTTAAATTGAAGTTTACCAACATCTATGAAAAATGTATTTAACATAGAGATTACTGTATGAAATAATTTATGTCAAATATCAAGAGTTTACAAGATCAAGTATGTAATCTTATTTTAAAACAACTTCTTCAGCACCTGAGCTTTTCAAGTCAAGCTGGAACAGATTAGAACAGACCATGTATGGCTCTGTTTTTAAATGGCTACACTGTTTAATCAGACAACGGTGTAAGTTTAATTGTAAGCACTTGCTACAAGAAGTAAACGTTCCTTCATCAGGGAGACATGATGTTAGACTGAAATATTAGTGCATCAATACTTTATGCATGCATATTATTTGGGTATTTATATGGATTATTATAAAATTGGTATTTTTATACATAGGCAATAGAACAAAGAAAGGAAAGTCAATGTTGACCCCTCACATGTACCTACAACATGTACAGCACATTTGTGTAAAAATACAAAAACACCACATAAAGTGTTAACAATTTCTCCAAACAAGCAGAGCTATCTGTCACTCAGCAACTGCCATCCAGAATCAACAGCTATATCAACAAATATCAACCTGCATCACATCAAGAGTGCCGATGCAATTAGGAAGTAATTACATATTACACACCACTGGACATGGGAAGTTCATTAATCTTTAGTCAGCTGGAAACAAAATAGCATGGATGAAAATTATGTATTTGGCAACATACCACCCAGTGGCATAAGAATACAAGTACATTTGATGTGTTGTTGTCGCAGGTACCTGACCAGAGTCTGACAACTGATGCAAAGCCTAGAATCTGGTTATATGAACAACTACCTGGACATAGCTCTATTTTTTTTAAGTGACGTTAGAAAAGTGACAAAATGATCTCTATATATTCCCCTAAAATCCCATCTAACACACATAAATCCACAAAAGCTTTCCTCTACTTCCTTCTTTTTATGGGACACTCTCTCAACTCTCTAAAATGCAAATCCCTGAGAGCTAATGTGTCTAGAGACTATGGGATTAGCAGTCTCTGGAAGGTCACTAAATACCAAGTACAACTGTACAAGCATAATAGCTGGGTACAAAGCAGTTAGTATGATGCTGGGGAGCACTTTGGCTCACTGCTGCCAAAAAGCAAGGACAGAATGAAAACAAAAATGAAAGAAAGAAAGATTTTTTTTTTTCACTATATTGCAAAGCTGAAGGAAGATAAATTACTCATACTGGAAACTCTTAAAGAGAAAAAAAGAGAAAATGAAAATGGTACCAAATAATTTCAAAGATAACAAAATTTTGAAAAGAAGAAAACAAATCACTAACTTTAGGAATGTACATTTGTGTATTACGTAAAAAAAAAAACCTGACATCTGTCCCTGTACTTAAATGGACTACTGATAAAGGCCCATAATCCAGTGCTAATTTGATATTCATATGAATCATTATTATATTTTTCTTTTAATGACTGGTCTAACTGGTTTAATCAAGTCAGTAAGGTTAATAAAGAAGAAAGAAGATAAAGTAAGACAAGAAAAGGCAAAGGAAAATAATGTAAGATCATAAAATATAAGGCTAGATAAGATAAGTCAAGCTAAGTTTGATCATAAAAACAGTTTGTGTTAAATTGAATAAGATAATAAGTTAACCCAATGCCGACGGGCATGGCACGTACGTACATGCCATGCCCACTGTGAGTTTACTTTATTCATAGCATTAGTAAAAAATACATTTTTGCCGCCAATTCAAGGAAAGGTGAAATTAGGTAAGGTTACAAGGCCTGCTAATTGACTCCTGTGTGGCTAAGTACTAGCAGAGCCATCTATGTGCAGAGACATTTCACAAAAAAAAAGAAAAATAAAATTAAAAAATTAGCACAGCATTTTCCCCAACGGCATGTGGTTAAATTCAGATTATATTTGCAATAGCTTATGTAGCCCATTAAGTCTGCTGAGCCTTATTTAGTGATAACTACCATATGAATAGCAATATGGCAAAGGAAAAAAAAAAAATACAAAAATAGTATCTGCCTACACCTTGTGGGGGGGGAGGGGAAATACAAATTGTGACACAAAATTGTAGTACAACACAATACTACATAAATTAGGTTAACTTTCAGTATTCTCAGGAAATACTCAATGTTGATCATAATATTCTAATGGTGGGATTGTATGTCCTAAACTTTGCAACAAAATCTGCCTGTGTATTCAAACATCACATACTCAAAAATGTAACACTCTGGGGATGTACTTCTTCACTGTATTTCCTTGTATATGTTATTAGTGGCATAAATATAAAAGTCAACATTACTATATTCTTGAACAACACACATCCTTTTCCTAAGTCATAAGTTGTAGGATAGTGATGATTTAAAAGGACTCAACATTCTCATCATCTGCAATAATAACAATGAAAAAATGTACAAGACCTCATGTTTTTTGTTAATATCCAATCTTATGGCACTGATGTTATATTCAGTATCAGTTATGGATGCTGGACTTATGCTACAAACACTATGAACAGAGATGACTGAGGCTATGGCTACGGAGGCGGCCTTGGAGGAAGAGGATAAGAACCAAGTGATCGTGTTTCAGTTGCATGTTAAAGACTGGGAAGGAAAGCATAATGAAATGAGAGAAATTGGTGCAATTATTAGTGAACATCTAAAGATGTTAGCAGAATTTGAAACTAAAATAATAAAATAAACTACTGCAATGGTTACCAGCATTAGCAAATTCCGCCATTCTGGCTTCAAACCATCCGAGGATGCCATTAGCTGAACTGCTTTTCACATCCTCATCATCATCATCCTCATCATCATCATCATCATCATCCTCTCTGACTGCAAGTCAAGTATCACACAGTTCAGAAACCAAAAACAAGAGACAAGAAGAAAAGAAAGAAGAGACATGAAGATCAACTCAATTGTTGTTTTACATACTTCTAGATATATGTTAGTCCACCATTAAAAAAAAAACATAATCTCTTATTAACTTTACAGCTATATACTGCCAATTATATGTTATTCATTCCAAAAAAATATATGTTATCTAGATTAATAGAGAGCTGTCTACTAACACAATAAAAAGTCTACAACTGAGTTTGAAACACAACAAAAAAAAAATCAGATCCACATGAAGAGCAAAATGGTCTTACAACATTCAGTTAAAAGAACCATAAAGAAACACTATACAATTTCATTTGTTTCAAACAATTATATAGTCTACCATCACAAAGAAAACTATTCTCTGATATCTAGGATTTACTGAAGAATTCCATATGGGTATATGATTTAAATCAGCACACTCAAAAACAGACAGATATCCTAGTAATACTGAACTTTTTGTTGCAACATTTTCTATCACTGATCCTAGTTTAGTCTATATGAAGCAAAGAAATTTTCATCATTCTCATAAATGTCATCAAGCAAAATAGCATATAATATATTAGGCATTTCTGTCAGATATATATGTATATCACTGATATAATGAAACATCTTCCATGTTTCATACTATATCAAAATTTCCAGTGGAATCACTTCTTCACACACTGAGATTCTTGATGAAACCAAATTGACTATACTTTCTATGTTTTGTATTATCACAGCATCATACACACAAAAAATACTTAATATTCTGTATTATCAATAATAATAACTTCAATCAAGGTGAGAACGAAATGTCTGAGCTTCACAAAGTGAGTACCATATTTTTTCTATCATGCCATCTAAAGTATGGATTTCCAACTGCCCTTTCTTTTCACATCTTTATCCTAATTTGCACTCTAAATAACTAGCCCTTGAGTCACAGTATTCACGAACAATGAATGCAAGAGCTATTTTACTCATATTGGAGGAAGTATGTAAAGACATGGCAATTCTCAATCTGATTTCCATTTTGTAAATAATTTCGAAGGTTATCTCTAAAATGCATATGAAATATAATATAATACTTACTACAATTTGTACACTTCCAAACCCCTCAAAGAACCTATAACTCTCTATAACATCTAATAAAAGTAATAATTCTGCAGATCTTCATTTAAACTTCTGTTCTCTCCTTTTTGCTTTGCATGTTCTTCATGTGCAAAAAATACATCTATATCTCCACAATATACTTTGAAAAAAATCTCAAATAGAAAATAATCTGCATACTCTATTATCAGCATGTCACACAGTCCTAAATTCTAAATAATTATACAATAAAACCTTGAGCTTTGAATAAAATTCTAACCTTTAAACACAACTTGAAAAAAAAGAAAAAAAATGAAAAGTCTTTTTTTAAGACCTGCTACACAGAATACTCTACAGCCTCCATAAATGGAACTATTGTATCTTAATGTCTACTATCACACACCTCATTTAGCTAAAACCTGTGTACTTACCACCATATTCAGAATTAGATAGATTGTGACCCATGGCATTCTGTACCCCTGCACCAGCCACTGACGTAGGTGGGTGATACGGCGGGGGAGGGTGACTCCTTGGGTGAACCACAGGTGACGGCGAGGAAAACATTGGGGGTGGAGGGATGGGCCCGATCTCCGACACAGGGATCGGGGGCTCTGGGAGATGTGCAACATGGTGGTGGTCCATGTAGGCTTGCTCATTAGAGTTGTACTCTGACGCAGAGCCCTGCCCTCCATAGTAGGTGTGGGTGTCGCGTTGGTGAACTGGATGTAAGCCACTCGGTATTTCTGTTGGCAACACTTGTACTCCTCCCATGCCCCCATCGGAAACTGAAACACAATCAGAGCGTTAGGTTGAAGAGATGACACGGAAGAAAATCCAGTCTAATTAGTTCTTCTTAGAAGTACTCCAACTGCTGTAACACATAATAATGGTACTAAACTAGGTGGAGAAGGTACACATACAGGCACTAACTGTCCAAAAATGTGTGGCACTTGTAACAAAACCAGATGAGGGGGAAGGTCTGGTGTTGAAATATACACACATTCAGGCACCTATTGACCCTAGTAAAATCTGTCAGTTCTGATTTTTTTTTCTTTTTTTTCTTTTTTTTTTGGCTACAAGAAAGTGGATGTGAACACTTACATTCCCAAAAAGACTTTGTATTGAACCATAAACATCACTGTGGTGTTACTTAAACAATTAACTCACAATTAAACAAAGAATATTATAAATAAAATCAATGTGATAATGGCAAAGGAAGAGAAGCTGTAAGACTAGCTGAGGACAAAGGAAGTGCAGGTTCCATGCTGGCTGGACATGCTGGCTCGATGTCATGCTGGCGGCAGTCATGCTGGTGATGCTGGTGTCTCTGGGGTCTGGGACTCACCAGAAAGGGAAGTCCGCGAAGGGGTGGGCCGCACGGCCGCTGCACCGCCGCCTGCACTGCTCGCCCCATACACAGAGGGGAAAGAATACGTGGTGGTGGTGGTGGTGGTTGGGAGGTAAGCTGAGGGGAAGACACTGGCACCACCAGAGTGTGTGGGAGCGACATGACCCGATGAAGTGGTCAGCTGACTGGCCTGCACAAAAGGAGTGGGGGCGTAGGTCACAGTATGTCCCCCGCATGTCTGGGGTTGGGCCTGTGTTGAGGAATATGACTGTGGTGATGGAAGGCCAGGAGGTGGGTGAGGGCTGGGGGGAGCATAAGGAGAGGGCTGCTGAGCTTGAGTGGAAGTGGCTGGATGGAGGGCTGGTCGTAAGAAACAGCCTGCCAGATTACAGTGAGAGGAAGGCGACTGAAGGGTACGAGTAGTCGTGGCCGGAGGGGGAGCCACGACAGAGCTGAGAGAGGGGGGCTGCTGAGAGCTTGGGGACATGACAGGTCGGGTTTCTTGAGGAAGGGGGGCATTGGAGGGATGGTACTGCTCCCCCGGCACAGAGCTGGAGGGCACACAGAGGAGCCAGCGGGCATGGCGGCCCCCACACATGGTGGTAGTGGTTGTGGTAGTGGCAGCACAGGTGGTGTTAGTAGCAGTCACAAAGACGGCGTCTGTTGAGTCAGGGGAGGCAGGGCCATGTTGGCCTCGTATCTGCCACTTACCGCCCGGTGCCATGAGTGACGTTGGGCGCTCCGGTCTGTCTGAGGAAATGATGTGGTGGTGACTATGATAGTCTGGGGGCTGGGACTCGTGGGTCGTGGACAGCGGTTGGCTGCTGAGGGGGGGAACTGTTGTGGTGGTTGTGGGAGCACCAGAGGCTAGGGGGCTGAAGGCAGGGTGCTGTTGAGGCGAACCATCACCACTTCCAACATTACCGTTCACGCCCTCGCACCTCTCCTTCACAGGCTCTGCGAACAAAAACAAAACAAAACCGAAAATAAAATACTGTCCGCTGATGAGCTATACCTACTTCAACTAAAATTACTTGGTACTAAACACTAATCTAGATCACATAAAAAGCAATGCATGTAAAAAAAAAACAGCTACGCTATGTAAAGTGCAAAACATACGATATAAGAAATGGGTCTGGCAGTCTGGAGATGTGCAAATTCAAATAAAATCCAATATAATATATGAAGACATACTAACAAAATCGATGCGTACATACACAGTACACACACATCTCTAACAGAAATAAATAAAAAATAGTAAAAGTGTCGAAAAAGAATCTTGGTGAATGACACGCCAAAGGTGCTGGTGACAGTCAAGCAAAAGGGTCCTTACTTGTGCACAGGTACTTGAGTATGGTCGGGATGGCCATGCACCCCACCAGCGAGTGCGGGTGCCACGACCAGCGTCCTGAGCGGGATCCCGCCTTCAGGTCACCCCCACCGTGGTCATACCCCGGTGGGGTCACACTGTACCACAATACCATGGTGACGACACGACACACAACTCAAAGGGGCTCAAACCACGAACATAAGACTGCTGCTGTGTTAATGGAGGAGCAATCCAGCAGGCCTTACAAAACATGCCAATTCCAGGTGGTTAGAAAGAGCAACGCAACTGTCTTCATAACATAATAATTTTCACATCAGTCTTCATCTGTATACCTGCATTTTCTCCTGGAATATTATTAATCAACTAAAAAAAATGTTCTAAGTGGAGCCACATGAAGCATTACTGGCAATTATGAATATGAATATATAATTGCATAAATCCCCAACTATATAGCGCGCGCGCACACACACACACAGACACACAGACACACACACACACACACACACACACACACACACACACACACACACACACACACACAGCAGGTATCACATCACTTCTGTCCGCAATAACCCCGCCATGCATAGGCACAAGCCCGCGCCCAGAGCCAAACGCGCCCGCCCCGCCACACGCCTTGAGACAATCAAGCCCATACAACGGTTCCGTCAAGCCCCAATGACTCTACCTGGCCGAGATGTCAAAACGAGCCTATTAACCGCCACACCTTCCGACAAATTAACCCAATTCCGACATAATTACCACTCTTATAATGGCCGCCATTAATCGGATCAGCCAGACGTTCTGCGGGCGAGCGCCCCCCCCCCCCCCCCGACGCCGGGGAGTGCGATGTGGGCGACTCGAGACGCGGTGGGCGGGGCGAAGAGATGGGCGGGGCGAAGACATGGGCTCTTGGAGGCTTGCGTTGGCGAAGAATAAAAATACTTCTTCCGGCTTAGATTTGTTTCAGAATTACAATTACAACAGTGGTTGCGGTAAACAAGCTGCAAGATGCCCATTTCCTGGCTGCCTGACGAGGAGCTTACGAGGCAGAGATAGACAGACCTATAAAGAGAGAGACACGAGAAAAGAGAAGAAAGGGGAGAGAGGGGAGAGAGGGGAGAGAGGGAGAGAGGGGGAGAGAGAGGGAGAGAGAGAGAGAGAGAGAGAGAGAGAGAGAGAGAGAGAGAGAGAGAGAGAGAGAGAGAGAGAGAGAGAGAGAATGAATTAACCACCATCCCTCTTTTCCGTAAAGTAAACATCCAAACCCACTAAAAATATATGAACTCCAAAATAAACTATATTTTGCTATGATGAAAAGCCATCAACTGCAGCCATATATATATATATATATATATATATATATATATATATATATATATATATATATATATATATATATATATATATATATATATATATATACACATATACATATACATTATATAAATATGTATATATATATGTATATGTACACACACACACACAAATGCCTTAAAGACAAAGCGCATGGCTCGTGCGGCTTCCAATAAAGGCCACAGGCAGGGCCATACCGCACGCACGGCGTCGAGCCCGCCCACGGCCCGCCCGGGTGCCTGTCAGCGGCGCACTCGGCCTCCCCTCGGCCAGGTGACAGGGCGGCGGAGGGGCGGCGGAGTGGGTCCGGTCTTTTCAAGGGGATGAATGAATAAATCGAATCAACAAATAAAAATGCAATACAATGCTAAATGCAACGCTAATAAAATGAAAGGCTATACCATTCATAATGACAAAAATAAACGGTTAATCAAATAAACGAAGAAACAAAGCCAAAGACGAAACAGCATTGAAGAACAAGCAAAATAACTGTAATGACAAACCACACGCTCACGGCGCCACTGAACGGAACGGCAGGACAAGGCACGAAGGAGAACGGAGGAAAGAAGTGAGGGCGGTTACGCGACAAAAACCAAGGAGAAGTCTAAGAGGATGGAGAGAGAGAGAGAGAGAGAGAGAGAGAGAGAGAGAGAGAGAGAGAGAGAGAGAGAGAGGGAGAGAGAGAGGGAGAGAGAGAGAGAGAGAGAGAGAGAGAGAGGAGAGAAAGAGAGAGAGAAAGAGAAAGAGAGAGAGAGAGAGAGAAAGAGAGAGAGA